CTTAGAATGCCAAGTAACATGTTTGCACTGGTATTATTCAGTAACTCAGCATTATTGGAAGCAAAGCCTGTGATATTTCTGAGCTTTTATTCTAATGCTTCCATTGGTTTTCTCCCTTTTCTGAGCTGAAAAATCATCTCTCAATCACCTATATTTGTTCTGGAGGGAAAGCTCCATTTTCTTCCTCATAGGCAAACATTCTCTGCCTCCCACAAAAAAACAAACCCCCAAAAAACCCCCACTACTTGGAGTTCTACATAGACAATCAAATTTGTTACAAATCTTTCTTGACCTCAGCCAGTGCAATTCATCAGCCTTTGCCAGTCTGGCATCTGCAGAAGTACATAGATAAAAGATGAAAGGGTGCTTTTGTATTAATCCCATGCTGTACATTTCCCTTCTTACTTTTTCCCTCAGTCCCTAAATCAAGGCACACATCTGGCCCGTATTGGGTGCTGCTTACTGTTCAGAATGAAACATGCTCACTTCCCCTGTAGCATTTCAAGTTTAATAGAAAAGGAACGGCAGTAGAACTTGAGGATGTTACCCGACTAAAATGGGGAAGGCAACTTCAGAGGGCTGGTTCAGATGTAAGACTAAAACTTTGCTTAGTAGGGAAAGGAGCCTTTAAAAAATGCCTTGGGATTCTCATAACAATGTGATGTAAGTATAAAAGTGATTTAAATCTCACATATGAAAAGTTCCCAGGTTGTATAAAGGAAAGTTCATACACCTCTGAGCCACCTTCTGGGTGTGACCAGCACATGGGGCAACATTGCCCAGCAATGAAGAGCCCAGAAACAGGATGGGGGAGGAAGAATTGCGTCTGCCCTCACAAGATCTCATGGGGTGGTGTTCATCCCATGGGAACTCAGGTGAGAAAGGAAGGGTGGAAGCCATTAAAAGGGTCTCTGGTTCTTTCCTCTCAACCTCAACTGGCCTCTTTGGAGGCTTGTTTGTTTGTTTGTTTCCCTTTTCCCTCATTATGTTAAGCATTGGAGAGAATTTTTGTAACAAGTGTGGGTGGAAATGGAATTGGGTAGGATTGGCATAGTAGTTGTAGTAGTAGTAACTTATTTATACCCCCCATCTGGCTGGGTTTCCCAGCCACTCTGGGCATCTCCCAACAAAATATTAAAAATACAATAAAGCATCAAACATTAGAAACTTCCCTAAACAGGGCTGACTTCTAATCTCTTCTAAAAGTGAGATACAGTGGTACCTTGGGTTACAAACACTTCGGGTTACGCGTTTTCAGGTTACGGACCGCGGTAAACCTGGAAGTACAAGAAATGGTTACTTCTGGGATTTGCAGCTCACGTATGTGCAGAAGCGCTCAACCGCGCTTTGTGCACTCGCAGAAGCACCAAATCATGCCACGCACTTGTGCAGACGCGGCGCTGCAGCTTACGAACGCTGCGGGTTGCAGACATGCCTCCTTCACGGATTACGTCCACAACCCGAGGTTCCACTGTAGTTGTTTATTTCCTTGACATCTGATGGGAGGGCGTTCCACAGAATGGGCACAACTACCGAGAAGGCCCTCTGCCTGGTTCCTAGTAAATGGGTCTGAGGGGAGGATTCACTAAGACACGCCCAGCATGAGTTAGGATCTCTACCTAACAGGAATCTCTTCCCACTTGCCTAGTGAGACCCTGGATGCCAGGCTTTCATCAAACCAGAGTTCAGTGCTGGAGAACTCCCATGGAGGGCCTTTCTAAGCTCAGTGCATTGCCATTCCATCAGCAAAGGCAGAGTGGAATGAGGAACTCATCCTTGTCCTACTGCCATGCCAACCCAGGTTACTGACCGTAGTCAGTGAAAATCTCATCTGGTTTTCACCGAACTCCAGTGTCTCAATTTTTTTCACTGCTCTCATGGGCCATAGACTGTGCCTGCTTAGGCAATACCATACTGGCATTGTCTTTGCAGTGTGTTGCATCAAAGAATCTCAGCTGTTATTGAATTTTTCTTCTCACTCTCCACCCCCCCAAAAAAAATGACTCCATCTTCAATGTATTTAAATGACCATTATTCAAGACAGTAACACAGGAGCACAGGGTCACATTCCTGGAATTGGTTTTAAAAGGCTGTGAACTCCAAAGAAATATTATCAAAATAGCAATAGCGAAAACACCTCCTACATCTGCAAACACTCCAGAGATCCTGGCATCTGGTCAACAATGCCTATTTGTTCTTCACTGGAGAAGACATTCAGGTCTCCTGCCACTTTATGCCTAAATTCATCCTCTGCATCCCTAGCTGAAACACTGAAAATCTGACATGGGAACGAATATCCTGCACATGTTCAGGCAGGGACAAAGAAAGAACGGCTTAGCCAAGACTCAAAGACTCTGAACCCACTTGCAATGCTTTCCTCTGAATTACATTGACTTAGAAAGTTGCTAACTTTCATTGATAGTCAGTAAACCCAAGCTAGACTTTCATATCTTACCCAGTGAATATCATCTGCAAAGTCCAATGCATGTTGAGCCCCTTTCTGTAACCATTGTGAAGGGAGACTCCAGAAGAGGCAATCTGAATTGCTCTGTCTGAAGACAAGATGGTGGTGTCTCCATTTGCCTCCCTTTCTCAGGGCTCTCTCACAGGGCAGTGAGATAATATCACCAGGGGAGTGAGAGGTCCATCAAACTGATTCACAGACATGTGTATGAAGCTGTCTTTGCCTGCCTCTTTCCCCCTACATTCGTAGATCTCTAGGAGATGGGAGTTTTACATTTACCCACCAATTCCATTGACTCAGAAACCATATAATCTGATGAGTATGATGGGCACTAGTTTTTTATGCAGAAGTCTCAGCTATAACTATGACTATGAATATACTATTTAATGTAGCCTACAAAAATAAACTAAGCATATTTCAGAAATGGAGCTGAATAGTTAGACCATGATGCTAATGTTGTTGTTGCTGTCATTTCAGTTATTTAATAAATTTATAGTCCACTTTTCAAATAAATAAAAAAATTCTTCACAAACCAGTATGTAAGTACACAGTTAGCTAATGATCAAATTATATAAATGTATATGAAAAATTAATCACATGACTTAGTAATATGTACATTTGACTTTGTAAGCTGTGCACTCCTCATTTACTGTTCCAATAATAAAATACAGATTCCCGCCCCCCCCCCCCCCCGGCCATCTGTAAAAAAAAAAGATGAATATATTTATTATAGCATAACCTTTTGTGGACTATAGTCCACTTCAGTTGATGCAGGTACTGGATTATAGTTCACAAGAGAAGTTTATTTGTCATAAATTTGTCAGTCTTTAAGGTGCCACAAGATTTTCTTTACAAGACTTTCTTGTTTTTGTTTCAAGAGACTAACAAGGATATTTCTCTGGAAATTATTACAATGGAGTTCTGTGTTACAATTATTCTGTGAGAGGTTATCACACTCTAAAAATGTCATCAACCCAGTACTATTTTGGAGGAAATTAATTCACACACACCCTCTGAATGTCACAAGCCAATTGCTTGTGGTTTTTCTCTATTTCTTGATTATGAGCTTCTCAGAACTGCAATTTTGCTACTAGATGTGTAAATCTAGCCTTCCCATTGTAATATATTATAATGTGTTTTCCATCCACAACTTTGGACACTATTGGTACTCCCCAAGGCAACATTAGAGGCCAAAGGGAAGGTAAGAGTTCATTTGGCCCCAGCTGACTTTATTATATGGCTCATCACATAGTTTGTTGAATCAGCTGTTGTGTAAAAGTGCGTTGGGTGATTGATTTTTACAAGGGAAGCTGCAATGAACTTTTGTTTCCGGAATGGTAGGATTGATTCCTAAACATACTGCATATGAAAGGGCTACATCTCACTGTAGAAGAACCACAACTCACCTTGTCTTATGAGAAAATGGTATGCCTGAAGCTGCTGGCTATGAATCCAGGGAAGCTAAATGTTGGAAAATTCAGGACAGTGTAATTCTCCACACTAGATTCCAGTGAATGTAATGATGGCCGCCACTTAGATGGCTATAAAAGAATATTAGACATATTCGTGGTGGATAAGGCCATCAATCTCTGCTGGTCACAATGGCTGTTCTACCTCCACTGCTGGAGGCAATATGTTTCTGAATACCTATTGAAGTGAATCACAAGCAGGGACGGTGCTATTGTGGTTCTGGTCCTACTTGTGTCCTTCCTGTAGGCATCTGGTATGATACCAGAAAGTTGGACTAGAATGTGGGCCTTTGGCTTGATGGCAGGACTCATCTTCTGTCAGGCTTCAGGGAATCAGATTCCTCCCCCGGTGGCAGCAAAGAAGCAGATAAGAAAAGAAGAGTTCTTACCAATTAGTTTATTCAATAATCACAGTGAGAGACAAAGGAATGCAGTCTCTCTCTAGAAATGGCATTGCTCCGAGTAAAGCCCCCCCCATCTCTCTTATCCTACGTCATCCCTGCGCCGACTGAGCTGGACTTTCTGTCTCTGAGCTTTCTGTTTGGCTACTCTCACTGCACACCTAGTCCCAAGGGAAGTTGGCTCAGGAATGCTCTCCAAAGACACTGAGTCCGCCAGCTGTCTCTCCCCTGGTGTTTCTTCTTCCTGCTGTTCCTCTACCAATATTTCCCAGCTTTCCCCCTCTGCAATCTCTGAACTAGGTCCTTCTGCAAACCACTGTTCTAATTCTATACTGTCCTTCTATTCTTGGGAAGGTTCAGGAGAAGGGTGGGCACCATTCCTCCTCAGTCCTGCCCCTGAAATCTTCTTATGTTCTGTTGCTGATTTTACTTTTGTTTGCTGTGCTGGTAGTATTTATGGGATTGCTTCCAAGCGTTGTTATTTTTGCTTTGCTTATTTTTATTTTTATTTTAAAAAACTCTTTCATTTCACATTGTTTTGAAGTCCGCTATGGAGAGGAAAAAGCGCTTATAAATTTATCACACACACACACATTTAAATTGCAGATGCATTTTAACATAAATACTTTGCTGCCATTTAAACTCGTTACCTGTTCTCTTCCATAGCTTGAGAACTACATTGTGGAAAACATGAAATCAGAGATGGCGCAGTTGCAGCAGAACGCTGTGCAGAACCATACAGCCACCATGCTGGAAATAGGAACCAGCCTCCTCAGCCAGACAGCAGAGCAGACAAGAAAGCTCACAGATGTCGAAACACAGGTATGTTTCCATGGTTGCATTCACCAGGCCATTAACTATGACAAAACATTTCCCCCTTTACTCCCTTTTTTCTGTGTCATTTCCTCATACTGTGCTTCTCGGCATTTATTTATTTATTTTTGCTGCAGGAAACACACTTCTTGATTGGTGGTAACAGCAGCAAAGGCTGGTTTCAGTTAAAGTGTCCTGGTTTGGGCCAAATGGGAGTTGCTTGGTATAGTTTGCTCTGCATGTGTTATCTCAGGCTGGACTAGCCAAGAAAGTGAGCTGCTGCTGCTGACTTCAAATAAACAGCTTGGCTACTAGCTGTGAGCAACTGAAGCATCGAATGTGTCAAAAAGTTCTGATTGTGCCTTTTATATATGTGATCACTTGCCGCTTTAGGCTAGCTTGAATTGCTTTGATTTTCTCTTGAATGTTCACAGCCATAAAAAATACACTGTGCCCATGGTGTATTGCTATCGAAGACAATTATAGAATCCCAGGGTTGTGGAAATGTAGAGTTGGGAAAGACCTTTGGGGTCATCTAATCCAACTGCTTGCAATGCAAGAATCTCAACTAAAGCAACAATGACAGATGACCGTCCAACCTCTGCTTAAAAACCTCCAAGGAAGGAGAATCCACCACCTTCCAAGGGAGTTCGTTTCATGGTCAAACTGTTCTTACTGTCAGAAAGTCCTTTCTGATGATTAGTTGGAATCTCTTCTCCCTTAACTTGAATCCACTGGTGCAGGTCCTAACCTCTAGAACAGGAGAAAACACTCTTATTCCATCAATGCTGCTGCAGGGCAATGGTGGGGCGCAGCCCATAGTTGAGGGGAGGAAGGATCCAGTGTAGGGCAGAACCTGTGGAAGGCACTTTGCTGTGGGTCCCCTTGAACCTGAATCCAGCCCTGGGACCTGGGACCAGCCAAAACACAAGTTTATCATCTCAGTGAGAACTTGGCCTGAATTGTAAGTTATTGTAGGGGCTTCTGTGACATGCTTAAGATTGCAAGTCAATTAATGTCCCATGTGTAAGTTCATGTCCAACAATACTTCTCCTGTTGTTTAATGGTGGTAGTGGAGGTGGGATGGCCTAGGGGAGAGCCAGCGTGGTGTAGTGGTTAAGAGCGGTGGACTCGTAACCTGGAGAACCGGGTTCCCTTCCCGCTCCTCCACATGCAGCTGCTGGGTGACCTTGGGCTAGTCATACTTCTCTGAAGTCACTCAGCCTCACTCACCTCACAGAGTGTTTGTTGTGGGGAAAGAAGGGAAAGGAGATTGTTAGCTGCTTTGAGACTCCTTAAGGGGAGTGAAAGGTGGGATATCAAGTCCAAACTCCTCCTCCTCCTCCTCCTCCTCCTCCTCCTCCTCTTCTTCTTCCAGGGCTAAAGAAAAGACCAGACCCTTTCTGCCCGTTCTAGCTGTAATTAAGTAGGGACCCTGCTTCTACATAGCTTTTAAAGAGGATTAGACAAATTCATGGAGGAGAAGGTTATCACAGACTGTTAGGCAAGATGGCTGTGCACTGCCTCTACCACTGGAGGCAGTACATGCTCCTGAATACCATTTGCTGGAATCCAGAGGAGGGGAGAGGGCTCTTGTGTCTGAATCCTGTTTCCCACACGCATTTGGTTGACCACTGTGATAACAAGATGCCGGACAAGATGGGCCATTTTGGCCTGATCCAGCAGGCTCTTCTCATAGTCTTATGTTCCCAACTGTCTATACCTAAGGCTAAGAGGTCTAGAGAACATCTGTTTGCTAATTGCAGTCCTGTTGGGAACCCATCACAGACAGGGCCTGGGTTTGAAGGGAGGAGACACAGAAGTCCACAAGATCAGTATCCCAGCTTCTGATACATGTCCGTTGGCCCTAACTCATTGAGAGCCCTTTGATATTATCTATCTGTTCACAATTCATAATTCTCCGCCACTCTTTCCCCTTTCCCTTACAGTTTCAAGCATATGGTATCTAGCAGATGCTGCGCATCCAGACTGTCTGCTTAAAACAAATGTATGCATGTATGTAATCACTACACTGGCCAGTTAGTTATACCAGCAGAGTGTTTGAGATGGATCATATTTTTTGTATTCTCCGAGCCTCAAACCGTGTTTACAGTATCCTTTCCCGAAATGATTACTTAAAACGCATATCAACATATAGAGTAACAAGATCAATTACACAAGAAAGGACAATTAATTTAGTCTAGCTAGAGATAATATACACATGGTGATGACAATATAGTCTTACTCAAGCTCTCAGCTTCTTAGTTTTCCATGGAAGGGCTAATAAAAGTTTCATATAAGACGGCCTTAGCTTGTAGGTAATGGAATATGAGCATGAGAAATTGCTGGAACCAAAATCTTATATTTTTAGTCTTAAGTCATAACAGAGAATAGAGGCTACACTATATATTTGAACTGCATTAGGAGAAAATAAGCATGTCAAGGTCAACTCACCCATCATCCTTGATAAACAAAGGCCAGCTTTTATATTACCAGAGCAGTGTAGATGCTGATCCCCATTGGCTTAGTCCTGCAGTCACAGTATTAAACATAAGAATTGACTTTTGGCACACATACAATATAGGGGGGATGCCCACTATCAGAAGGCAACACTAGAATTTATGCTTTACACAGGATTTCAGCCAAAGATTGTGACCTTTTTTTGTTGAATCACTCATAACACCAACTATTTTTCTGGCAATCTATCCAAATATGTAGAGAATATATGCGTTGTGATACAACAAGATAAATGTGTATTATTCAATAATTTTCTAGACAATCGCCCATCAGAACTGCCAGAGCCTTCTCTTTCTAATTTTATACCGACTCCCCCAAAACCTGATTTGATCATGCACAAATAAGTAGATTCACAATGTGATCCACAAGACAGAATTCTTGGATCTGAAGTGACTCATAGCTGGAGTACACATGATTTTGGGTCGTGGTAGAAAATAGTCTGTCTCCCTATAATGACAGGGCTGTTATATCCTATGGCAACTCTACATTTGGCCAATGGTGCCTTCTTTAAATAACACACATGCACCATGCTTGGCATGCAGAGACATGATGATTGGTGGTGGTCCTATAAATTCTCCACAACCTGATTGGCATTGACAGCTTTACATTTTATGTGTATCTAGGAAGATTCCCCCATCCCCATATATAGGAAGGAATGGGTCCCCCCAAACATGTTTGGTTTAAAGGTGGGCTGAGATCTGAGAACACTGAAGGCTACTGTTCTAGGTGGTGTTGTTCGGTAAGGACACAGGAAGAACCTAGTGAGGCTTAGAGTGACTGAAATTGAAGAAGCTCAAGGGAGGAATGTAGACTTACTTCCAAGGAGGTATGCAATATCTGAAGCTATGCTATAAATAAACCTAGACCAAACACAGCCAAAGAAATACCTTGGGACAATGATGTTTTGGAACTTCTGTTTACAGAACAGAAGCTGGGGAGCAGGTTGGCTTGTGTTTAAATTTAAATCACCCTGGCAAGCTACTTAGGTAAATGCACTTCATAAAAGAACAATGGAAAACCTGTAGAGACCAAAATAAAATGTCCTGCTGGTGTGTCTCTGTTTTGCAATATTTTTCTTTTGGATCATCATGATATGTCTGGGACCAAGCAAAGCAGAACAGCAATGTTGACTGCTAAAGTCAAAAGTATTGGAAGGCCTATCTATTATTTCTCGCTTGCCTCCTTCAGGTACTAAATCAAACATCTCGACTAGAAATTCAGCTGCTGGAGAATTCATTATCTACTTACAAGCTGGAGAAACAACTGCTCCAGCAGACACATGAAATATTGAAAATCCATGATAAAAATAGGTGAGTGCAGAGTTCTTTAATACTGTTGTAAAGCATGTGTGGAAGAACATTTTCAGTACCAAGAGGCCTTCTTCTGGACATTCTCTAACTGATTGATTAATTGATTGATTGGATTTCTACTCCACTGTTTCTCAAAAAGTAGCCCAGGCTAGCAAGCAACGAAACAATACAATTATATATGAGACTATCAGGTAAAATGGCCAGTACTCTGTACTGTTATGCTTACAGTGACCCTAAACTTTTGAATGATACCAGTGGATGAGAGGCAGCAAGGTGTGATATTGGCATCTCAAAAGAACCTGGGAACCAGAAAGACTCATGAAGGGGCTCTGCTTCCCTTCACCCCCATGTCAATCACTGGGGGGAAGGTAAATACTGAGCAGTACAGTTGGTGAAAGGAGTGTGAACTCTTCTTTCATACATTTGATACAATCACTGGCCCTGAATGAGTGCTAAAGCACTATATTGCTGTAGGTAAGTGGTAGCTAAAATGATGGCCCTCTGAATATTGCTGGACCCATTAGGGCAGGCTTCCTCAACCTCAGCCCTCCAGATATTTTTGGACTACAACTCCCATGATCCCTAGCTAGCAGGACCAGTGGTCAGGGATGATGGGAATTGTAGTCTCAAAACATCTTGAGGGCCGAGGTTGAGGAAGCCTGCATTAGGGCTATATGAATGTGCCTCATTCCATTCTGACATTCATTCATACTGACATGTTGGTAAATATGCTCAACTGAATTTTCTTTCCCCCTTGTAATATGCTACCCGCTTCATCATTCACGTAAGTAGAATTATACCGTATATGTATTTTTGTGGTATGTAATGCCATACATAGACACCATATTTTGATATTCATTTTTGGGCATTATTTTCCTTACATCTCACTTCTTTGCAGTTATTTCATTGTGGAAAGGCAGTGCTGTGCTGCACTGTGCTTACAGTGGAATCCTCTGACATTCCTAGTGCTAATCAATCACAGCTAGCATGGTAAAAGAGAGGATTTGTGGTCCAGCAATGCTGCTGATTGGTTTGGGGAAACTATGGCTCTCAAGATACTGGTCAGTGATCAGGGATGATGGGAGTTGCTGTCTAGCAGCATCTAGAGAACCACAGGTTAGCTATACCTGCTCTAGTTCGATGGGGAGAAATCGGGGCAGGGCAGATTGTGGAGGAATATATTTATTCATCTCCAACCTGAACAGTACATGGTTACCCATCTCTCCTTCCTTGCTTTGGAGATTTCTTTATTTCTCTTGTTGATCTTGGAATGAGATTGTCACCCCCACTTACATTCATCACTAGCATTGTTTTTAACTCTTTTTAACATCTATAGCTCAGGAAGGGTCTATGCATACTAAATCCTTGGGAGGCTTTTGGGGGAGGGTTTCTCTCATTCTTTAAACAAAGTGCTACTTTAAAAATAAAACAGCAACCTAGGAAGTCTCCCAGGTATGAAGAAATTCTTACTTTGTCTGTGGGTGGCCTCATGTCACTGCCCTGTTGATTGGCAGAGGGACACCAAGTTAACTATAGGGGGAATTCTATATGGCCCTATCAGGAGTATTGGATATGGAGTAGGGCTATTCATGTTATCTTAAGAAACATTGTTCCATGTAAAGGCAGGGGGTAGCTTAAGAAAGAGACAAATAGACAAAAACATAAATGAAATTTGGATATTAAATTATGCTTTCCTTAAAACCATTCTCAATTATTAACTAATATCAAGGCTGTTCTGGACTGCTTTTTGTGCTGATGTTGAAATGTACTTCTTGGGACAATTGCCTGCACAAACACTTACACACAAACCTAGAACGCTTGGACATTGCTGCACAAACACTTAGGTGTGGCAACATGTTGTTCTGGATATTCTTAAGGGTGGGTCAAAGAACTGGAAACCTTGGACACCGGTGTCTAGCAAGGGGTCGTTTGCAGTAGTAGTTGCCTGTTTCAGAGATAGTGCTTTTAACAATGGCAACCACTCACATATATAAACTGACAGTTATGTAGGCAAACAAGTTTGCATGTATTCAGAGATGCTTTTAACAGGACATTCACTGATCGTATCATTTTGCAGGATCTTTCTTTCCATTAATTGCACTTAGGAGATGATAAAACAATCTCATAGAGAGATATCGCATGATTCCTAAATGACTAGTTCATCAAGCAATTATTGTAGTCACCAAGTAGTTGACCTGGTTGTCACTAGGGATGGATGGAGCAGTCTGTTGCCAGTCAATGCCCGTTTCACATGTTTTCATCCCATTTCCACATTGATCTGTACATTTTTGGGGTGGGGAAAGAATCCATATGAAAATTTGCATCCAAATACTTACTTAAATGCATATTTTATCACAAAATGCAAATTCACATTTTATTTCAATATAGACATTTCTAGGCATATTTTACCCTAAAATATGTATTTTGGTGCATTTTTATAAAAGAAAATAACCATATCACAATATCTGGAAAAATCCAAAGTTTAATTACAGGCTCATCAATGTAGTTCCTCCCCCAAAAGCCTCCCAAGGATTTAGTATGCATTAGTCTGGCAATTGTTAAACAGACCAGTTTGCTTAAAAAATGTGGAGCAGCACCCTTAAGGACCTTCATGTCACAAGAAAGCACAGCAGCCACTCATGCCATCTTTCCATTCTGTTGCAGAAATGAAACCCCAGAACCATTACATAGGTGTTTCCCATCTGATATTCATCCCACTGGGAAAGACATCAACCATTGGGTGAAAATTGCAATTGGCTCTGCTCACATTGTTCTTAGCATTCAACCACTCTTGTACAACGAGAGGTAAAGCTGTGGGAACATGGTCTCTGCACCATTGTGGTAATGCATAAAAGGCCACTTTTATGAACTGGCCCTGTAGGAAGGCAGAGCAGGGAGATTCGGTAATCGGCTGAAATCTAGACCCTTTATAGGTAATGTGCTCTATCAACTTTTGCTTCCGTATTATTGAATTAGCTGCAAGACCATTACAAAGCTTCAGTGTCAAAGTGGAAATGTGTGTGGCTTTTTAACCCACTGACCTACTGATTGTATTAGCGACCTGCCAATTATCGTCTTAGGCCTAAGTATTTATTTAGAATGTGGAAAGGCAGAGATTCCTATAGGTGATAACTGGTGTGCTTAATATTTTGCATTTATTTATGTGCTTTAACAATGTGTCACAGTGTTAAGATATGTTTGGCAGCAAATAAACATGGCCTGCCTTGACCTCTGTGTGTGGCTGCATCGACTTACACACTGATGTGCCCTTTTAATGTGATGAAATAGCCTGGCCTTGTATATGGAAGGAAGGGATGTGTTGAAAATCAACCTATTTTCATGCTGCAGTTAAAGGGGGGAAGGGGAGCAGAAACGGTTTGTTCAAGAAAGCAGAATGCAGTAAGGTCCATTAATAAAATGAGCAGGAGTGAGTGGACTGGAGAGATCATCTTTTCTTGTTATAGAGATCACAACTTTTTCACTGTCTCGCTAATTTCCAAAAAGCAATTGAATTGGAACAACAGGATTGAGATACTAGGCTACTCAGAAACTTCCCTATAGATAATGGAGAAAAGTTGCCTAGCCCATAACCCACAAACGGGTTGAATTGAAAATTTGGATAATAACTGAGTGAGGATGGTTCCTCAATATGCTTGTGGCATTGCTCCCTTCTAATGTTTTACCCAGATTTTAGAATCTGGTTTTATTTCCAGAATGGCACTGATGCCTTAACTGTTCATCATACCTTAAACAAATAAAAACCAAATAAAAACCCAGAGTTTGTTCAGACCCCTGCACATAATCAGTTTGATGCAGTTTGCAGTTAACATCTTTTTCCTTTGTGGATTATGAATGCAGACCAGTACATATTCTCTTACTGTTTTGTTGTTTCTGTTTTAACTATCTATTTGTGATTTTTATCTCATGTTTTAATCTTGTGTACCATCCTGAGATCTTAAGATGCAGGGCAGTATATAAATCTAATAAATCTAATAAATCTAATAATAAATCTAATAAAAATAAATAAATATGCACTTAGATTAAATCGCAGCACAAAAAGAAATCAGTGTGATTGCACAATCACATCACAGTTCTTTTAATCAATGCATGTTCTTCAATCAATGCATTTTTCATACATAACAAAATGCAGGCAAAACGATCACATCTGTTCTTTTCAATGAACTGGCAGCATGCATGCTTTCGAAAGTGGAGTCCAACTGCAACTCAGAGCAAAAAGTATCTGCATGTGAGATCATCACCAAGAACGACCCATGCCAGGAGTTGGTGAAAGGTAGCTCGGGATCTGTTTGTGGACTGGCAACTTCCAATTGTTTAACAGTGGCAATGGCAAAATGGCTTCCCCCACTCCAAATTATATTGCTGAAATGAAGAAAATGGGGGAAGGGAGACACACAGGAGTGGGGTTTTAAGGGCTGTGCAATCGGTTCTGGTACTGAAACAACTCCTTGGGCTCAGAATTCTTTAATTCTAAGTACAGTTGTACCTTGGTTTGCGAACACCTTGCGAGTCGAACGTTTTGGCTCCCAAATGCGAATGTTCTTTGGAACCCAAATGTCTGACGGGGCTTCCACAGCTTCCAATTGGCTGCAGGAGCTTCCTGCAGCCAATCAGAAGCCACGCCTTGGTTTCTGAACATTTTGGAAGTTGAACAGACTTCTGGAACGGATTCTGTTCTACTTCCAAAGTACCACTGTATGTCTTTTGCATCCAGCTTTGACTGGTTGATCTTAAGGTTCTAGTTATTTTTTTTAAAAGGCTATGAGTCATGAGGGTTATGTACTACCTTCGGTGCCAGAGGCAATATGCCTTTGAACATGATTTGCTGAGAATTATGAGTGGGAGAGGACCACTCCACACATGTCCTGCTAAAAGACTTCCTGCAGGCCTTTTGTTAGCCACCATGACTAAATGCTGGACTAAAGGAACATTTGGTCTAATCCTGCAAACTCTTCTTACGCTGTCAAACAAAATAGGTCTTG